ATTTTCTGAAGTTTTGACAAACTGGGATGTCCCAACCGTTTATGTAATAAATCTGGTGAATCAGTAACAAGACAAGTTGTAGAAGGAAGACAAGATGTGAGTCCATGTGATTTAGCAAGGATAAGGTAATAAAGTCCGTTTGATTCACGCCCGGTACCAATGATCCGCCCCGTACTGCGTTCCTGTATAAAAACATGGTCATCAAGCAATAAAACAGTGCATTTAAGTGATTTGGCTAAGAGACTAACAACTATGAGATTAAAAGGACTATTGGGAACATAAAGGACTGAATCTAAAGGTAAGGAAGGAAGTGGGCTTGCTTGACCTATTGTAGTTGCCATGGTTTGAGACCCATTGGCCATTGTGACTTTTGGAAGAGATTGAGAATACGAAATAGTAGTGAAAAGAGATTTGTTACCAGAAATATGATCTGATGCACCTGAATCAATGACCCAAGATTTAGAGGATGGACTTTTGGCCATGGTTTGAGACCCATTGGCCATTGTGACTTTTGGAAGAGATTGAGAATACGAAATAGTAGTGAAAATAGATTTGTTACCAGAAATATGATCTGATGCACCTGAATCAATGACCCAAGACTCAGAGGATGGAGATTGGGAGAAACAAGTCACGCTATTACCTGTTCGAACAACATAAGCTATCTCAGAAGATGTTTGCTTACATGCTTTGTACTGAAGGAACTCAATATAATATGTTAACGAAACCATCCGACTATTCAAAGTATCAGTTCCCATGTCGCTACAATTTGTAGTAGTAGGGTTAACTTGAAATAGTGAAAATAAGTAACTCCTGTGAGAAAACTGAAGAAATAGCTTGAAGAACACTGTTTGCAGCAGGAAAACAGAACACTGTTCTGCGCCAGAAACACTGTTCACGCTGGAATCTACTGTAGCTGACGGAAAAACTCAAAGTGGTCGGAATGAAACAAAACCAGTGAGGGTAGGATCGGAATTACCAAGCGATCCTACTGTTCAACTGGAGCTTTTTCAAAATCTGGCCGGAACAGTGCTCACGCGCCGGCGCGTGGGTCAGATCTCGCCGTAAATGTTTTTTCTTTTCCAGGCGCGTGAGGGCACGTGGACGTGTGTTTTCCGGTCGGGTTGACTGGGGTTTGGTCGCCGGAGCCTGAGGAGTCTTGTGGTGGTGTTGGTTTTTGCACAACACCAACAGAAAGTGATTTGCTTACGGACAACCTTCTAAGTCGCCGGAAAATTGCACGACGAAGAGGTCTTTCTTCCCGGAAGTCGCTGAAATGATGCACAACGACGAGTTTCTCACTAATGCTCTGATACCATGTGAGAAAGCACGAGAGAAAATATGTTATTGATATTGGATGATAAATACAATACAAGAGGTCCCTATTTATATCTATACACTACAAGGAGATATTACTCCTCTTCCAATGTGGGACAAGACTACACTATACATATCTGTAAACTAACACAACCTATTTAAGGGGC